CTGTAGGGAGGGGGACTCTCCCTCCAAGCAATAACCGCCTCCCCACCCGCCTTCCTGTCCTCCACGCCAGAAGTCGCATCGAGCAAGGTTACCTCTCTTCGTACTGTACTTTGTGTCATATTTTTGTGGTTATAAAAAAAATACATATGGTTCAGAACGGATGAACCGTAATTACATTGAACCTTATGGGGAAATTTGATTCGGGACGCGACCAAAATTGGTTGGCGACCAAATTCGGATGGGTCAGAACGGATTAACCGTAATTACATTGAACCTTATGGGGAAATTTGATTCGGGACGCGACCAAAATTGGTTGGCGACCAAATTCGGATGGGTCAGAACGGATTAACCGTAATTACATTGAACCTTATGGGGAAATTTGATTCGGGACGCGACCAAAATTGGTTGGCGACCAAATTCGGATGGGTCAGAACGGATTAACCGTAATTACATTGAACCTTATGGGGAAATTTGATTCGGGACGCGACCAAAATTGGTTGGCGACCAAATTCGGATGGGTCAGAACGGATTAACCGTAATTACATTGAACCTTATGGGGAAATTTGATTCGGGACGCGACCAATGCGGGTCGCGACCACAGTCGCGGAATGAATTAAGTTCGTGACCCGAGGTACCACTGTATCTTAAAGCTGCTGAGGTTGACTAAGACTGATCTAGTGACCATGATCAAATTCAGAGCTGGCCTGAGCTGTGTGTTACCATTGGAAAGTGAGCTTTAGAATGTTTCCTGATTATGTGTTGCCTCTCTGCTTAGCAGAAATGCTGCATTTTGTAGTTGACTTATATTATATCTGATTTCAAACAGCTTGAAATAATGCTGGAGCCTAAGGTCTGGAGAGAAGCTGCAACTCAAGTGTTCTTTGCCTTAGGACTTGGATTTGGTGGAGTCATTGCCTTTTCAAGCTACAACAAGAGAGACAACAACTGCCATTTTGATGCTGTTCTGGTGTCCTTCATCAATTTTTTCACATCTGTGCTGGCAACTTTAGTGGTGTTTGCTGTTCTGGGCTTCAAGGCCAACATCATAAATGAGAAATGCATTATCCAGTATGAATATTTATTTATCAATTTTTATAGAGGATTTCAGTGAGGAATTTCCACTGTGATTCTTTTGTTTGATTGTGTGCCTTTGCCTTTTTCTGCTTGTTTTATAGAAATTCTGAACAAATTATCAACCTTCTGAATAGTGGCAATCTCAGCAAGGCTATCATACCTCATCATATTAATTTATCAAGTATTACAGCAGAGGATTATAATCTGGTATATGATATCATTCAAAAAGTTAAAGAAGATGAGTTTCCTCTGGGTTTGAAACCATGTCAAATTGAAGATGAACTTAATAAGGTCAGAATGATCATTCAATCTGTGATGCAAAGTTGAGAAATGACCAGCTGTTTTAATAAACCTCCAACCTTTTGAGAGTAATATTGCTTTTCAGTTCCAAATAATGTACTGAATCGGACCTTTGCCTCAAGTTTCCTTGCCTATATGTGCTATCTATTCCCATCCCTATCAGGTTCATAATTTGAACAGTTTACTGCTGATGTTAAGGAATGTACAACATCCTTAGCTGGTTCATTTTTATTTTTAGTAGTGACTAAAGAAAACTCTTGGAATAAAACAATGTTGAGACTGCATCTGAAGCAGCTTGGCTGTCATAGCTGCTTTAAGCAGCAGCATTCACACCTGGTCCTCTTCATTAAGTGTATTTGCTCACCATATAGTGCTTCTTCTGTCTTTTTGAGCTCCCTCTTCATGACCAATTTTAATCATTGAGATTTCTCCTTGACAGGCTGTTCAAGGAACTGGTTTAGCTTTCATTGCCTTCACAGAAGCCATGACGCACTTCCCCGCTTCTCCTTTCTGGTCTGTGATGTTCTTCCTCATGCTAGTAAATCTAGGACTTGGCAGCATGTTTGGAACCATTGAAGGGATCACTACACCTATTGTTGATACCTTCAAAGTGAGAAAAGAAATTCTGACTGGTGAGTTGGTATACATTTCTTTCTTTAAATCTGATGTTATTCTACAAGAAAATGACCTCAACAGAGTAGCTTCCTAATCTGATTTTATATTAATGGCATGTTTTTACCAGTAGAAAAAGTGCTTCTACTCTTCCTTGAAACCCCTCACATCACAGGACCGGGGCTGTTCAGAGCAGATTAGGAGCATGTGCAAGTCACTGCAGGGCAGAGATAGAATTGCCTGCCTTTGATGATAGAAGTCATTCGGTCACCAGAAGACCACATGGATTTTATTAGAGGTGTGCAAAGCATTTCAAGTTCAACATGTTTCAATAGCCTGTTTTGGTCTCAAAGGAAGTGCTCAGACACTTTTCTGACCTTCCTAGCAAGGTCAGAACAGTAATAGAACACTTCCTAAGAGGAATAGTCCATTTCAAATATGAAACAGCTGTTTGAAGGACAAAAGAGGAATTTTCAAGAGCCAAATTATTCAAATGGGAATTATTTTGCATACTTGTAGATTTTACCTATACTTGTTCTGAGTATTTAGACTTCTGCTTGATTGATACTAGGGCTGGCCGTGAAGAGGTACTTTGGAATTAGTGTAAACTCAGCATTTCTTTTTGTATATGTTTGTGCCTTTGAGTCAGGGTTGACACCTGGTGACTGCCTGGAAGACTCCCTGTATTTTTCTTGACAAGGTTCTTCGGAAGTTGTTTGCCATTGCCTTCTTCCTAGGGCTGAGAGAGAGTGACTGGCCCAAAGTCATCCAGCTGGCTTTGTGAGCTGTAGTGAAACTCTTAAAGTGTCAGAGACACTTTTCAGGATAAGTGAGCTTCCTATAGGGTAATATGAACCCAACTTTAAAAGATACCTTAGCACATCATCCTATGATTTTTCTTTTAGAATAAAATTCTGTCTTCCTTTGTTTTGCACATCTTATGCAAATTTCTCTCTCTTTTAACATTAGTATTCTCCCATTCAAACTCTGAATATTAGAATCACTTTTTCCAAGTATTAATATTTAGGGTTGATGTAGGTATCTTTTTTGGTGATAGATACATTTGGGATTTTAGTGCTTGTTATGGGTGCTCTCACAAAATCAGTGCTCCAGGAAATTTCCTAGGCAAAATACAGATGTCATGACAGATGTCAGTCAAAATACTCATTGACTTTTTTTTTTCTGGGCAGGTAGGCATAGCCCCTAACTAAACCGCTGGACTGTAATGACTCACAGTTATATATTCTAAGAGTACTTATGGAGACCACATGTATTCTTGTAAAAAAAGATGATGCTAGATACTATCCAATTATGCCAAAAAAGATGTTTTTAGGCACACTAGTGCCTATTATTTATATTATTGTTATTTAATTGATTTCTACTCTGCATTTCTACTGAGATAAACACTCAGAGCAGCTAACAAAGTTTAAAGAAAAATATTAAAAGCTCAACACAGATTAAAATTAACAATGAAATGATTCTAAAAATCACCTAATAGTTAAAAGTTGGCAAAAAAGATGCATCTTTATGGAGTTTCTAAATACCAAGGTGGAGGCCAGTCAGAATTTCTAACGGATTGTGTTGCATAGCCAGGGAGCATTTGCAAAAGGCCCTCTCCTGAATGCTGGAAAACTGCAGGGCTTTTCCAGTTGGAAGGGCCTGAAAGTGCATATACTTAATTTAGGGTTAGGGTAGATATTACTAGGATAGAACAGTCTATTGGTGCCATTCAGATTCTTAGGTCTTAATCTTCTCATCTTTCTGGATCACTTTGCACTTTTCTGGATTTCTTTTACTCTCAAATTAAAATCATTTCAAATTTGGTATGTACTTTTTCTGTAAATTATTTGAGTATTATTTTGCCCACAATACATAATGTAAACAATTCCCACTGACGAAGGCATTGGAGAACTACATCACAACATTTGGAGAAGTATGAGTAAATGAAATTATATTGGCTAAACAAATTTAGCCTCGTTCCACTATACTATACACACAGGAACATAAGAAACTATCTTATACTAAGTAGTTATATTTGGTAGTCAGTATAAGTAGTACACTGAGTAGTTATACTTTTTCTTTCTTATGCCCCCTCTTCTTCCCTCCCCCCCTTTTTTCTCTTTCTTCCCCCCTTCCTTTTTTCTTGATTTTTCTGTATTTTAACTTTTTTGGAAAACATAATAAAATTTATATTATGACTAAGTAGTTATACTTATACAAGCCCTGTACTGCTGATTCTGATTTGCAGCAGTTGTCCAGGGTTTGAGTGGAACTTTTCTTTGATCCTATCTGGAGATGCCAGGGATTAAATCTTGGAACTTGTACATGGAAAATATATGTTCTGATCTATAGTCGCTCTCCAAATATTCCACATAGTATAGAATCTCCCTGGTCCTTGTTCATTGCTAACACTGAGAGTTTGTAACTAGCTCGGTAGTTGTGGTAGTTGTGCCATTCCTAGTTTCACCACATATTTCTAGATGAAGAATAGAGAAGAAACAATGAAAAGGACGTTTAAAACCTTGTACAGTGGTACCTCGGGTCACGAACAGCACCGTTCGCAAAATTTTGCCTCCATTCGCGAACGCCGGATCGGGTGATGAACAGGATCTGCAGCCACTTTCCCTGCTGGGACACATGGTCGTGG